GGTTGGATGGAGCACTTTTGAAAGCAACAAGAATAACTGGAATGAAGAACTTCAAAGTGAATGTATGCAACAACCTCGTCTATTTCATTGCTTTTCATATTCTGCAGTTTTCATATGATTGGTAATTTTGGCTTTTTAATGTGATCATATGAAATGCAGCAAATGGGACTTGTTCCCATTAGAGTTGCCACTTGGGGGGCCATTTGTATTACTTAATTTTGAAGGAGGTTTGCCTAAGGAAGATTTTGATGCCAATGTCGTGGGAAATGAATGGCTGGGTACTTCAGCAGAACTACTGAGTGCAAATGGTGTTGATACTTCACTGAATTATGTTTGTCGACGTGAATATACAATTGAATGTAACTGGAAGGTTTGACTTTCGTCGTATTCTTTGTCAAACTAGTTCATATCCTAGTTCATCTTATCTGTTCCGTTTCTTTCTCAAATAAGATTGGGCTCCTCTAATTTTCAATCAATAAATCTTGTTATCATTTTTAACTGCTAAAAAGATAGTTTTCACTACTTTTATATCCGATGGTGCAAAATTAAAATATATGATCATGGATCAATCAGGATTGATAGGATTTTCTTCTGCAGGTATTCTGCGACAACTATTTAGATGGAGGTTATCATGTGCCATATGCACATAAAGGTCTTGCATCTGGTCTCAATCTAGATTCATATTCTATCAAGGTGTGCCCGCTTATTAAACTAACTTTCCCAGCGTTTTGAATACTTTTTTCTTCATTTTTGCTTGGAAATGCATTTACATTATTTTGTAGTGCTATTTGAAGTCATAGCTTATTGGCATGTTTGGTAAGAAGGACTGGGTAGCATTGGAAAATATTAAGGAAGAGAAATAATTTCTAGTGTCTTCTAGCTGCATGCCGTATGCTATATGTTTTTGCATCCATGCTTCCACATATATGATACAAATTGGTTTTTTCAAATGTGTACTGCTAAACTTTCTTTATATAATTTATACCCTGGTTCATATATGTAACTCTGTTCTTGAAATTGTGAAGACGTTAGCATCTAAAGTTGTGATGGTGGTGCCGTGAATAGTGAAGAAGAATATGATCGACTTGGCTCCAATGCTTTATATGCTTTTGTCTAACCAAACATTTTGATTAATAGGTCAGTGATCAGTACTCAAATGTATCAATTATTTGTTTGTATGTTGTCTTATTCCACATATTGTTTCATAGCACCCTTATTTTCTCTAGTTTTTCTTTGTACCTTAGGTATGGACCATGGATGGATACCAACCTCGTAGTCCCATTGGGACCACGGAAATGCCAAGTGATATTCGATTATTTTCTTGATCCTTCTCTTAACGTAAGTTCCTTTCCTCATAGATTTCATGATGCCCAGATTAAAATGATCTCAAGAAATATAAATATCCAAGCATTAGTAATATCCCACAATCATATCTAGAACTTTTATAGCATGATAAAAAGATCCTTTTGTCTCCAGTTTGGATGTATCGATTACAAAATATGCGAATTGTGGAAATCGGAAAGATGTGTTATGGTGTTTATTTTTAACTACTCTCCAGGTTTTTTGATGATTTTGGCATGGAATAAATAAACAAAACCAATTTTTCCCCCTTGATTGTCTAGGTTCTCTTTAAAAAGAACAGTTGATGTACACTCCTCCATGTCTGCAGTCATCGTCCTTTTACCCCATTCATTTATTATCATTTGCCTAACGTGAGTCAGATTGTATAATTGTTCCAAAGATGCACTATAAGCATTGCTGAAAATTTCAAGAAAATCCCAAATGGGCAAAAATATAGGGTCGTGCAAATTTAATATTCATTCTATTGACATCATCTTTTCCTGTCGTGTTTTATACATATACCCGTGACAAATGACTGTGTAAAGTATAATTTGTGAAAATATCAATCGTATGACAGATATTTAGCTTTGCTATCTGGGTGAATTCACAAATATGCTATTCTTTGATTACGTTTATTCTCAGAATAATAGTGTGTTGGGTTTTTGATACCCAATAAATCCTGGGCTATGATGTTAACGTGGGTTAATATTATTTCATAGGCATAGGCCGATGAATGAAATAAGTCCAACAACCAAGTCCATGAGCTACACCCGGCACAATTGTATTCCTTATGGATGGCTTGAATCTTGGCCCGCTTACCCCTTTAATGGCCCAACTTAAAGCCTAACCCTAGAGTATATATATGAATATAACCCTAGCCTCTTCGATATGATGATTGTGTGATTTTGAGAGAAGAAACTAGTGAATCCCGGCTGCCCCCCTTTTGTGTGAGAAAAAGGTGTCCAGAAATGTCCAGAACGCTTGTATAACGTGTGCAATTGGTAGTTCTTTCATAGTATACCTTTGTGGTGTCTTCTCTTAGCTTTTGTGGCGATAAATCATCATTCCTTCTTGTCCTACGTGGAGAAGATTGTATAGCAACCATAGTGAATCAATTGGTTGTGGTTTGGAGCCGTTTGGACTGGTTGTTGGTAGAGAAAGGTACGTTGGACTGAGTCTGAAAAATCACCGTTTGAAGATCTTTTAAGAGAGCTTCTGCAACAATTGGTATCAGAGCTTCAAGGTGAAGGTTTTGGCTTGTGAAATCTACCAGAAATCGTCCAGAAAATCGGCAGAAACGCAGCAGAAATCAGATCGAAGAAGCTGTCCAAAAACTGTTAAAATTAGTCTTCGTTTTTCGTGTTTTCTGATCAATCCAGAAGAGGTTTGGGGAAACGGAGACCACTGGCGTGACGTGCAGGAGGAGGCGAACCCTTCAGGCCGGCGCGTGTCAGGCGACGGAGGCGCGTGTGGTGGCGCGTGAGGACCACGCGCAGAGAGAAAAGGGAGTGCGTGAGGGCGCGTGGACGGGATTTTCGAGAAGGTCCCTTCAGGCAGTTTGTTCCTCATATTATTTCTGACATTTTTCGTGTTGGAAGTTTTCTGTTTCAGGGTACATAGTAGAATCTGGACAGCGTTGTTCTTCGGGCTTTCGGGACTCGATCGTGATTTTTTGATTGCTGCAGTTTCCAGAGACTTTAGGATGAACAGTGATAATCCTAAAGTGGTGAATTCGCATGTCTCGATATTTACGGACCTTCAGACGTGGTCCGCTCGGTATCGTGTTCTTTGTTTTTATTATTGCAGTTGAAATAAATGTGTAGAGTAATTTATTTTTTGCATTAGAGGTCATCGTGTGGGATGACATTAGGTTTGGGGTTATCATGAAAGGGTAACCATTGCCTGTTGCTAGACCTAGGAATTATTTGTTAATTATTTGCCTTAAATTCTTTGTGAATTTGCTGTCAAATTTTCTACATTATTAGAATTGCATGTGGCCTTAGGAAAGTTTACTGGACTATTCTATGTGAATTATGTTCATACTTTATTTGTGGTCATTATTTGGCATTGTTGGCAAATGTGGGTCTAAGGTAAATGCAAAAAAATAACATATATTTTAACTGTGGTGAAATTTGGACGTAGTTGAAAGAGATTGTCCTAAGATGATAATAAAAGGAAAGATGAGGATAAAGACAAGGCGAATGTGACTTTAGGGTCGAGTAGTGATCCCAGTGAGGTTTATTGAGTGTAAACCTAGTCACTGCATATGCATCTGTGTGTGATCCTTTCTGCATGTGTGTGATTGTCTAAATTTTGTTGCATGATTATCTGCTACATTTCAATGTGTTTGATATGTGCATTTGCATGAATTTGAGACATTAGGATTACTTGGTGTAATTACTTGCATGCATAGTGGGTTAGAATGCATTAGCAGTGTGTTGTGTATCTTTTGGTGAGGTGGAGTATAGATGCCTAAGGGTACATGGTGGTTTGTATCGAGGGATGTAGAGTGTGACATTTGGATCACGAGTGGAGATGTGATCAAATGTCTAGGATCCTTTATCTGGAAAGAGACCCTGATCAAGTGGAGTGTGAGAGAGACACTTCTATCACTTCTGTTAGGTGGAGACCCATTATCCACGTAGGTTGGGAGAAGTGATGTGGAGATAGAGGATTATCCCGTGGACTTAGGATCTATTGTGACTTACCAGTTAGATATGAGTTGAGTAATCTGTCTAGTGAGCGTGGTGGGCGATGAGAGGAGATATGTGTTCTCGAGGTGTGAGCAACACGGAATGGGATATGATAAGTGTGGTGAGATCTTTTCTTAGGGTCATTTATGCATGTGTTGCATATGTGGTTGACCGTGATTTGATTGACTTGGTGTTAATCTATGGTTCTATGTGAACATGTTTCTGAAAAGATCTGTGGATGTTATCCTATAGTATATCGTCATCGCATGTGTATTTGCTCTTGATTGATTACTGTTAAATATTTGCTTCTACTTGGGTGTTTTTTGACCTTAGCCCTAGTGAGTACATGGAGCATGTATGGTATGTGTTTCAAGTTGGAAACACGAGGTAAGGTCTGTGATCCAATTTTATTAGCTACCTTGATTATGCAAGTGTTAACTGTGTGTTTTGATTGCTTGCAGATTTATTGGGCATCAAGGTGGAGATTTGTTGGGTTTTTGATACCCAATAAATCTCGGGCTATGATGTGAACGTGGGTTAATATTATTTCATAGGCATAGGCCGATGAATGAAATAAGTCTAACAACCAAGTCCATGAGCTACACCCGGCACAATTGTATTCTTTATGGATGGCTTGAATCTTGGCCCGTTTACCTCTTTAATGGCCCAACTTAAAGCCTAACCCTAGAGTATATATATGAATATAACCCTAGCCTCTTCGATATGATGATTGTGTGATTTTGAGAGAAGAAACTAGTGAATCCAGGTTGCCCCCCTTTTGTGTGAGAAAAAGGTGTCCAGAAGTGTCCAGAACGCTTGTATAACGTGTGCAATTGATAGTTCTTTCATAGTATACCTTTGTGGTGTCTTCTCTTAGCCTTTGTGGCGATAAATCATCATTCCTTCTTGTCCTACGTGGATAAGATTGTATAGCAACCATAGTGAATCAATTGGTTGTGGTTTGGAGCCGTTTGGACTGATTGTTGGTAGAGAAAGGTACGTTGGACTAAGCCTGGAAAACCACCGTTTGAAGATCTTTTGAGAGCGCTTCTGCAACATAGTGAATTTATTGAAAAGAGTTTGAAGGACAGTGAGAAAGTGCAGGTCAGACACCTTTCTGTCCACGATCAGTGCTTGCATATTTCGTGCTTAAATTGCTTACGAAATCTATATGCAGATGGAAGACATAATATTAAGTAAAGCTGTTCAACGGGGCCTCGAGTCTCCAGCATACAACATTGGCTGATACAGTCCAAACGTCGAGATGGCTATGCATCATTTTCATTGTCTGCTCTACGAAAATCTTAGCAGTTGATTTTCATAGTGAAGAAAGCACATATTGAGAAAATTCTACGCCATTGTAATAAAACTAAACACGGTCAAGGGAGAAGGAAGAAGAAGTGGTGGGAATCAGTCCACTCTGGCTCGTCTTTTCCTCGTCCTCACCACAATTTACGATCCAAATGAAGCCCTTAAGCGTGGATTAAACTTTTCTAATGATTCGTTTAGTTGTGTAGCAAACATGCCTATTGATTTTATTATGTGTAATTGAAGGGCTCTTGATTTTACCATTATTATTTTTCAAGGAGCTTGAGCATAGCTTCACAGTAGCCTTTGTTGAAATGGTGATCACAACTACACTAACTAGAAAAGTAAGGCGAAAGCCCTCTGATTAGACTTTTTTAGGGATGGGATCTACCCGAAGTTTTTGGATATTTAGTAAGTGAAACCGTTGGGTTCAAATTTAATTATGGAACCGTTCAGGTTCGATTCCATTTGGTTTGGTTCCATTCTATTCCCAAGTTCCGTATTGTAATTAAAATTTTAATATTTATAAAGTTACATTAATTCAACTAATGATATGTTCAATCGTAGCTCTTATAAAATAATGTAGTCTTATTTTATGTGTTTTTTGCTTCTCTCTTTGTTGAGTTATTCATAAATTTGATTGTTAAAATCATAGGAAGAGGAAGATAGTGAACTCAAAATAATTAAGAGAGGCGTTGTTGAGCTTTAATTTGATTACTCCAGAATGATGGAAACGGAACTACGGTAGAGTAACAGATTTGGATAAAAATTTAGGTTAATTTGATTAAGTTTTGGCTTTGAACTGAAAATTAGAAATAAAAAAAAATCATATTTTTGGATTTGAAGTAAATTAATTAGTTAGCAAATTTCTAACTAAATATAAAAGAGTTGGTTTTGGTTACTGTTCACAAGCCATTTTTGGTCGGCTAAACCGTTGATGTTTTTCGGTGGGGAGTCGTCTTTTGGTTTCTAGAATTCATTTCCTACCTTGTTTTCCTCTTCCCTCTTTGTAGATATGAAAATATTTTCTTCTTTCATTTTCATGATAGCCATCCTGTCTTGCCTTGCAATTTATTTTCTACCTTGTTTTTCTCTCCCCTCTTTGTAGATCTGAGAATCCAATTGAATTTGTTCGTTTACAAGTACGATCCTTCATATTCATTATTATTAACGCCTGTGGAGCATTTCCGAGTTTAGTGATGGCTAATTAAAGCTCGATATAGGTGCAATCGTAAAAGCATTTCTTTTTGTTACCCTTTTAAAGGATTGGATTCTTGTACAGGGTTTTGTCTTAAACTTAATTTGTATGAGGTTTTTTTCTTGTATGCTACTTCAGTTTGGGGAAGTGATTGGTTTTAAATCGTGGGATTGATTATTTAAATGTCCTTTTTCTGAATGTGAAGATTTCTTCGTAATTTTGGCTTATGTTTTGAGAACATATTCGAATAAAGCTATTACTTTTTCTTTGCATATTTGGAATTTTTTATATTTATTTCTCATTGCTTCTTTGGGTTTGCATTTATTTTATGATTGGAAAGCAAAGTTTCTCATTGCTCGTTTGGGTTTGCATTTATTTTATGACTGGAAAGAAACACATGCAACTAATTAAAGTGTAGAACCGGGAAAATGAGTGGAAAATTTGGCTGAATTATTTTTTATTAGAGATTATTGTTGCTAAACTTTGAAATATTGCTCATACTATTTTTATTTTTTCTTATTTGTATGGAAGTGTACCTTTTTTGAGTGGCTGCGTCTAGGAGATTCACGTGCCTTCTTAAGTTCACTTGTTGGGCTCTTAAAAAAGTTTCGTGGGAACGATACTTTGCATGAGCCATGATAGCTTGATGGTTGCAGATGTTGATGTAGTTATTGGAAGAGCTAAAAGATCATGAGCTTAGCCTATGTGATTGCATATCATAGTAGTGGCACATGTACATGTTGTAAATCGAGAACATCTCTTGTTAGATATGGCCATTATCAAAAAGGAATTAAGTTTCTGTGTTTTTAATTAGGATTTATTACATTACGTTTTTGATGCATCCCTTGTGTTCATGTCTTCCAAATGTTTAGATTGATGTATAATGGCCTTTCAAGCAATGTTTTCAATATGGATGAAAAATCAATGAAGGGATATGAGTATTACATTACGTTTTTTTATGCATCCCTTGTGTTAATTAATGTCTTCCAAATTTTTGGATTGATGTATAATGGCCTATCGGGCAATGTTGTCAATATGGATGGAAAATCATTAAAGAGATATGAGGTCAACTCACCAAGTTAACTTTCACTTTTTGAAGGCTTTACCCTTTTGACCTTTCAAAAACTAATGCCAATGTTCAGGGATGAAATTGATAAATTGAAATTCAAGGATTAAAAGTGGTACTTTCAGGGACTATCGGTGTATAAAACACTAATAAGATGGTAGTGTGTTCATCCTTTTGGCCTTTAGTAACTTTAGAATTTTCAGGTGACTTCTATTAACATAGTTTTTTGTGGTAGGGAAAATAGCTGTATTTGGTACGGATGTCTTTTCTCGCAAGTTATTGTGAAAGTTAACTTCAAGAGTGTTGTACAATCAAAATAGCATATATGCAACTTATTGGTTATTGCTTGATTTATGTGGTAACCAGTTGAGATCAGGCTACAGCCTTCTTTCCTTAAAAAGGAAATGGAACATAATCATTTTCTTCCCTTTTCTATGTTGTATACTTTAGTAGTGTTCTTCTTTGTTGTATACTTTTCTCATCTTTCTTTCTCACTTCATTTCTTGTTTTCGCATGTTGTATATGGTTAATATATCCTGTTGATGTGGTTTATCTATTCTCAAGCCACTAATAAAGCATTTTTATAGATTGTAATGCGATTTATCAGTTTTAGTCTAAATAATGAATCACTTAGACAATCATATATAGGACTTCAAACTTGAATTTAATCATTGAATTGGGGTATCATAATTAAAGCTGAATTTTGCTACTTAACAATATGAAAATTTTCATTTCCAACTTATGCTTTCATTTATTAGTGTGGTCATTTCTTTCCAATTTAATTGGTGCTACATTGACAACTTTAGTACCTAAAATTAAAAAGGCCCTTGCACCTTTATTAAAAGCCATTAGTTAGAGTGATTATGTAGATAAATCTGTTGGGAATCTACTTAACATGCGCATCGGAAAATTAAAACAGATTTCGATTTCCATAAAAAATCTCCTTGTGTTTAGATAGAAATTGTGAAAAAGATCGTACATTTTTCTAGATCTGCAAACTCCTTTGCTTTTCTTGCGTTCCAACGATCTTAATCTGCCAACCACAGCTGTTTAATTGTTCAGTCTCCAACGATGATCCACACAGAGAACAAGATTGCAGGATTATGATTTTTTTCTTGTGCTAGTAAGAATAATGAATTATCTACAAAATTATAAACCATAATCAGTTATTTATATAAGCCCAAACGGGCTTGGATTGACCCGGTCCAATATTTAATTAAATTCGGTTCGTGAACTAATTAATCCAATTAATTAATTCGGGCTTATAAATAATCAACCCAATTAATTAATTTATCCAATGATTGTTAAATTAATTAATTGACAAATTGCAATATTCCAATTCTCTTTTGTGTACGACTTATCAGGTTCCCGATCACGATACCTAACGACATGAAATATTATTTTGATCTAATCAAAACTGATAAATTAAAACACCATTTTAATTTATCATCAATTCACACTCGTTGTCCCAAATTGACATTTAGAAATGTGTCAGGGCAATACATGTGACGGAAAATGTCACATGGCATGACAAAATCAAACTCGTTCATTTACCGTGAAACTATAATCCCTTCGTCAATATGATCCGATCAATTACGAGATATGGAAGTGTGTCAATCTCGATTATCGATCATATCTTTCACTCCACTATTAAGTCAATATAAGTCGAAAACTCCTTTTTGACTTATGAGTATACATTAACCAAGGATTTTGTTATCGATTTAATTGAATGAAATGCATATCATAATCTCTTACTATCTAAAGGCAACAAATCCTCTATTAGTCATTCACAACCTTTATATGATTATTGATATACCCGAACGATGCCGTATTAGCAGCTCTTAGCAGAGCAACATCCAACACTGCCAAAGTATGACCGTCCTCATATAAGGTACAATAATGACCTCAAGTCAAAAGACCAATTCCACTACCGAACGTTAGAGATTAACCACTGATACTCAAATAGTTATCCATATGGAACCTTTAGGCGGGTCTCCAATGTTTTGTTCTATAACAAAACATCAACGTGTTCATTTAAGTGTTACCATACTTTAAGTTGTGAGATCAGTTACTTATTTTGCAAGTAAGAAATGCCACACGTGATGGTCTAACCGTATTTCGTTATTACTTACGACCATGGACGATTTAAGATTCAATCATATGTACTTTATATCTCACAATCATAACTTCTTATGATTAACAAATTACGAAAATTTGAATCTATGGACTCTATTATTTAATTTAATTGTCTATTAATTAAATAATAGATCTACCATTAAATTGCATTAATTATATATTGAAAGTATTTATATCCAACGTTGATTGGAACTAGGGAATAACACTTACAAACTCCCACTTGCACTAGATCTAATCACTTATGTATCCAATATCGTAAGAGTCTACATGACTATCATGTTTATGCTACGACAACTTTGTCTGTAGATCTGCAATATTGTCAAATATGGGAATTTGTTCTTTTCTTTAGTCATTTCTATATAATATCTCTCTGATGAGATTGTACCGCCTTAATACATGTTTGGATTATTGATGAGACCTTAGTTCCTTCGCTTTCGCGATGACTCTATTGCCATCACAATAGAATGGTATGTGATCAACAATATTAGGAACTACTCCAAGTTCATTAATGAATATCTTGATCCACATTACAACTCTTTACTACTTCTGAAGCAATTATATATTAGGTTTTCGCTATTGGATCAACGATTGTTTCTTGTTGGAACCCTTCCAACACACCGTTTAAGAGTAAACCAATTTCTACATATAAAATCTTCTCAAGATTTTATATAGATTGAGACGAGTTAAGCAATCTTCTAGATCTATCTCTATAGATCAAGTTGCTTCCCCATATCGTTCATGAATAAATCATTTAACAACCACTATTTCAACGATTGAAACATAGGGATGCTGTTTCCTATAATATTAGGAATGCGACAATACTCCCACTATCTTCTTGTAAACACACAATTCGTCTTCATATTTGATACAATTAAACATTTTGATTTTTCCATCAAATCGAAAATTTCAGCTCCAAGAGATTTGTTTTAACCCATAGTCATGGTATGCAACTAATGCAATCAAAATTCGAATGAACTTTAGCATGGCTGCAGGCGAAAGGTTTCGTCAAGGTCAACACTTAATCTTTCGCTACTAGCCTTACTTTGTATGTACAGATATTCCCATCCGTCTCGACCTTTTCCTTATAAACCATTTATAACCTATGGGTTTTATCCCATCAAAAGGGTCGATCAAGGTCCAAACCTTATT